GACGCGGATTTTAATCGGTGAGGAATAACAAGAACCGCCAGACAGACCGCCCGACAAAGGTTCAAAATAGAACAGCGGAGAAATATGTTTAATTCGATTGCAAGCGACAAATTCATTTACACTCAAAAATGCAAATTATTTTTAAATTGTTTCATTTGGTTCGAACGATTTGTCAGTTAATAAGAAACGCGAATACCATAGAGCTGGCCATTTAGAAAATGTATTTGATTGAAGACAAAACACAAATAGTTAAATGTCCCCAAAGTTCTACATCATTTTGCGAGTGTCCTCAAAATATTTGTCAGGTTATGAAGATTCTAGATTTGGTCATACAAAAGATTGCCTTTTGGTCGCATCACTGTTTCGCGCAGACATTAGCACAAACACAATGATATTTGCCGGTGGAACTACTGTCTGGGAATTTAGATGCGTCCTTCAATCTCAGTACTGTGAATCATGCTGTAACTTTCCACGAGCTGCACTGAGTCGTTTAAATGAAATGAATACTGTCCTCGTCTATCTGAGATTGTTATTAAGTAACTGCGTGCCGATGCCTTCCCTCTCTCTAGACGATCTCCATCTTGCCACTCGCCACAACTCTCTTTTCCCACTCCACCTCGGTACCATTTGACGGCTCTCTCCTGTAGTTGGCTGTAGCGAGGCTTTCCCCACGAGTTTTTAGCAGGCATATCAGTGTCCCCTCCCCCTACATTCATATAGGTCTACCTCCTGTTATAACTTAACCTACTTGTTTCATTAACTATTAACAGTTTTCCTCTGCTCCTATTAGCCATTTATGGTCACCGAATCCTTCTACTCTTTCGCGTACATGATTGTATTGTCATGTTAACGCCTCTATCCGGATCGGCCTTCATCAGGACTTATTTCAGTGCTTCGCTGACTCGCTGTCCGCTATCATCATACGCGCTTTTGCCGATCTTATGAGAATGCCTGACGTAGGTAGTAGTGAAACTGATAATCAGTGGCATCCAGCGGTCTCATGTGAATTTTACTGTTGTGTGAGTACGGACTGACATTCCTTCCTCGCAAGCTCGGCATAAGTACTGCCAAAACTGTCAGAGGTGTGGTCGCGCGTGCCAGCTGTATCGCCTACGGCTTCCTGGCTTCCAATTTGTTCTGACCTTGGAGTAAATAGCTGATGGGTTTTCTGCACAGATTCAATATGTTTACTTGAGCCGGATACTAACGGCTTCAGAAGACCAACAGCGAGTATCCAGCAGCTGTCAAAGTACAATTAAATTTATATCTAAATACTCCCTGACGATGATCCGCCGGATGGATGATTCCTCAACATTGTGCTGCTTTCTGATCGTGGATATTAAAAGTTGTATCGTTTGCTCTCAGTTAATGTAAACGGCTGTATTTATACTTGCGTCCGGCTACTGCAGAAAACGCCCTGGTAGGATGGTCTATCTGTACTATTCCAAATCGCATTGACTAATTCAGTCGTATATTATTATATTTCGTCTTCTTGATTTCGTGCTCACTGTACTTCCAAATGAGGACCTACTGTTTCGGTAAATGGAAGTTGGACCGATGCATTGAATATGAAGTTTGATAAACATCACTTTCTACTCCATACATGCTAGTCCCTCGCAGTCTGTCATTCATTCTTCAACCGGCTGTCTCTGAAGGAGGGCGTTCTCAATGAGACTGCACTCAGAAGGCATTGCGACCTGCCGAGCATATAAGGAGGAGAATTTAATTGTTCCCCACCTTAGTGAATCTGCGAGTCATGTGCTTTAACGCACTAAACTTTTTTGAGGCGGCTGCCTGGTCCCGTGGCCTCCTGCCGTGTGCAGTAGCTGAGGTTACAAAAAAGCCTCTGTCTGCGCCTGCCACCTACGCGTTCGTATCTCGTTCCACATTGACTGGACTGCACTGAAAATGCAGATCTCTCATTAGTGAAAGTTTACATGCCGGCATGCGACTGTGAGGAAAGCGTAGCGGTGTAAGAAGTGCGGGGGTGTTCATTTGTGGGTCCACATGATGGTCGTAATAGGTCACTCGTTTGGTTTCGGGTGCCGACTCCACCTATCGTCCGTTAACCGGCACCCAGCTCTTGCCTGTGACAACTCGAAGCTTGACTCTGCCTAGCGGCCAAATGTCGGCAATGGCTCCTTCTTAACGTGGCCTTAACGGCACTCCCACCACAACGTGGGATCCGAGCCAGGCGTTGGCGGCACGCCTAGGTGCGGCTTCGGCCGTGCCAGCCTCCAATTTCTGTTCTGTTGGTCCAAAACCTGGTTATCTGTTGTGTGGACCAGGGGGTGCGGAGTGGAGCGCCAAGATGAGGATCCATCCAGGTGATCCACCTACGGCCTCCCTCGTCTCCGGTCTTCCTGACTCTGTCTTGACACCGGGCTCGGGTGGGGGAGGAGAGAGTGTGGTAGATGCAGCACAAATCTACCGACACTATAAACCCCTAAGCGTGTCACTGTCCCAGCTCCCACCCTGCTTTGGGGCATACGGTGGACATCGGCGAACTAGACGGTCGAACTGTCGTGTGTGTGTGTGTGAGAGCGTGTGTGTGTATTTGCCGGGGTGTAGGGGTGTCAGCGGTGGGTTCACGTGATGGTCGTAGTGGTCGCTCACTTGCTTGCAGGTGAGACTACGCCTAGCGTCCATTTGCTGACACCCAACTCTCACCTGTGGCTCCACGTAGCTGGGGCTCTGCTCCACGGCCACACCCCCCGCAACCGCCTCGACCGGCGGGCTAAACCAGGTGAGGGTATCCTTGCGCGTGCCCGTCTCACACGGTATTGTGGTCTCCGCTGGCCGGAGGGATCTTCGCGTCGACATCGTCGGGACGACGCTCTGCCTGGACCATCGCAGGAGGCCACCAGGCAAGTGATTTTTCAGGTAAGTGAATTTACTTTTGTCTGTTTAAGTTCCGTGTTGTTTGCTGCTCCTGTTGCCTGCTCTCTATATGTTAACGCGTGCCTCTGTCTGTAAATAGCTAGATGAAAACTGTGCTTGATCTCGATTGATTTCATTCCTAACTTGTTGCACTCGCCTTCCTATTTGCCTGCTTAATTACTGCTGTCTGCCGCTGTTGATGTCTGCTGCGACTGTTTTTCTGTCTGTCATTCTATGCCTCTCTGTTAACAGCTAGATGTTACTGTGCGTGATTTTGAATGATGCCCTCTCACTTCTATTTCTGACTGATGACTGTGTCTGCTTTCCCATTCTAGTTGTAAGTCCCGTAGCATTATGTTGGTGTGTTTGCCCTCTCCTACGTAACTCCGCCACATCACCACCAAGGTCCGAGGCTAAGTCGGGTCGTTCACTCACTAACAAAAAGTCGTGGCCCATAGTGGAGACCGGCAGTCGTCTGGGATAACCGGACAGCCCTATTTAGGGGGTGCGCTGCCTGCCCTCGCGAGGGAGAGGGGGCTAGAAAAGGTGCCCAAACAATTGCTGGGAACCACGGTGTTTGTAGGCTGGCCGTGGCCGCAGACAAAACCCACACTATCGAAACAGCCAAAACCGAAACAACAACAACAACAATCTCTCTCTTTCTTGTCCAGCCTATTCTCCTTCTTTCCCTAGTCGTAGTTTTCGCCGCCGCAATCGCCAGACTGGCAGGGGGACTTCGCTCACTCTGGCAGCCTGGAATGTTCGTTCCCTGTTAGGCAATCCAAGGAGCAACCGATAGGAGCGGAGGACGGCGCTAATGGCTCGGGAACTAGCGCGCTACAAGGTTGACATCGCCGCACTCAGCGGGACCCGATTCTCCGAACAAGGCCAACTGGAGGAGGTGGGTGCCGGTTACACCTTGTTTTGGAGTGGTCGGCCCAGGGCAGAGCGACGAGACGCTCGAGAGACATCGTGAGACGACTGCCATGTTTGCCGCAGGGCATCAACGATCGCCTCTCCGGGGTGGTGGCAAATTCGCCACCATCATCAACGCCTACGCTCCGACGATGAGCAGCCCCGACGCCGCCGCCACAAGAGACAAATTATATGAGGACCTGCACGCCCTCTTGCGAACGTGTCGAAGGCGGACAAGTTGATTGTCCTTGGTGACTTCAACGCCGCCTCGGCACAGACCATACTGCCTGGGGAGGAGCGCTGGGTCCCCATGTTTCCGCGGCTCAAACGACAATGGAGTGCTGCTACTCTGCACCTGCGCAGAACACCGGCTCATCCTGACGAACACGTTCTTCTGTCTGCCAGATCGACAGAAGGCTACCTGGAGGCATCCTCGGTCGCGTCAGTGGCACCTGCTGGACTATATCCTCGTTCGGAGGCGAGATCAGTGAGACGTGTTGGTGATAAAGGCGATCGAGGGAGCTGACGGGTGGACCGAAAATCGCCTAGTCATCTCGAAGATGCGTATTCGCCTACAGCCTCGCAGGAGACCACAAGGTAAGCGACTCCCAGGTAAGCTGAATATTGCGTTGTTGTCTTTGCCCGCTCACCATCTGCATTTCAGCAATGAGCTAGCTCAACGGTTAGACAACCTTCCAACCGCGGCTGCCGACGTCCCCGCTGCCGAGAACGCCTCCGTTGGAAACGTTGCTGTCAACTGCGAGACACGGTCCAGTCGACGGCGCTCGCCGTCCTCGGTCGCGCCGGCCGACAACACCAGGACTGGTTCGACGACAACGACGCCGTCATCAGTAATCTGCTCGCCGAGAAGAACCGCCTACACAAAGCCTACGTAGACCACCCTACTGATGCCAACAAAGCTGCCTTCTACCGCAGTCGCCGCCAGCTTCAGCAACGACTGCACGAGATGCGGTATGCCTGGACAGCTCGTAAATCTGAGGAGATCCAAGGCTACGCGGACCGCAACGAATGGAAGAACTTCTTCTCCGTGATCAAAGCTGTCTACGGACCGCCGACGAAGGGCACTGCTCCTCTTCTCAGCGCCGGCGGAGGCACCCTCCTGACTGAGAAGACACAAAATCTACAGCGATGGGCCGAGCATTTTCGAGGCGTGCTCAATTGCCCCTCCGCCATCTCTGACGTCGCCATCGACCGCCTGCCGAAAGTCGAGACCAACCTGGACCTCGACCTCCCGCCATCTCGCCCGGAGACAATCAGGGCCGTGCAGCAGCCCTCCAGCGGGAAAGCACCCGGATCGGACGCGATCCCTGCTGAGGTCTACTAGCAAGGAGGTCCCTAACTCATGGATCACCTGACTGCGCCCTTCCAGGAGATGTGGCGTCAAGGTGAAGTCCCGCAAGATTTCGAGGACGCAATTATCGTGCATCTCCACAAGCGAAAAGGGAACCGCCAAGTCTGCGACAATCACCGCGGCATCTCCTGGCTGAACGTCATCGGGAAGGTCTTCGCTCGCATCCTCCTCAATCGTCTGAATAATCATCTGGAACAGGGCCTTCTGCCGGAAAGACAATGCGGCTTCCGTTGCCATCGCGGGACCACAGATATGATCTTCGACGCCCGTCAACTTCAGGAGAAGTGTCGGGAGATGCGGACCCACCTGTACCCTACCTTCGTGGACCTGACAAAAGCCTTTGACGCGGTGAATCGTGAAGGACTGTGGAAGATCATGCAGAAATTCGGCTGTCCGGAGCGATTCACTCAGATGGTGCGTCAGCTGCACGACGGTATGATGGCGCGAGTCACGGACAACGGAGCTGTCTCAGAGGCATTCGCAGTGACCAACGGAGTGAGGCAGGGATGCGTGCTGGCACCTACCCTCTTCAGTCTTATGTTCTCTGCCATGCTGATGAACGCCTACCGCGACAAACGCCCCGGGATCCGCATCGCCTACAGGACGGACGGTCACCTTCTGAATTAACAACGGATGCACTTCCAATAGCGCGTATCCACAACCACCGTTCACGAACTCCTCTTCGCCGACGACTGCGCCCTGAACAGCACCTCGGAAGAGGAGATGCAACGGAGCATGGACCTGTTGTCCGCCGCCTGCGAGAATTTCGGTCTGGTCATCAACTCGCAGAAGATGGTGGTGATGCATCACCCGCCACTCCCCCCAACGCGCCACAAATTAGCGTGAACGGAACCCAACAGCAAGTGGTGGATAACCTCCCGTTCCTGGGCAGAACCCTCGCCCGTAACACCAAAATCGATATCGAATTCGCCAACAGGATCTCGAAAGCCAGTCAAGTCTTCGGCCGCCCCTAAAGCACAGTTTGGAATCGTTATGGTTTGCGACTGAGCACGAAGCTGAAGATGTACAAGGCCGTCATCCTGCCGAGGCTGCTGTACGGAGCGGAGACTTGGACGGTGTACGCAAAGCAGGCACGTCGTCTGAACCACTTCGCCCTCAGTTGTCTTCGTCGCATCCTGAGGCTGAACCGGCAGGACCGCATCCCCCACACTGATGTGCTGGAGCGGACGGGAAACCTCGGCATCTACACCATGCTGAGACAAATGCAGCTGCGTTGGAGCGGCCACCTGGTGTGCATGAACGACGAGCGACTTCCCAAACGACTCTTCTACGGAGACGTCGCGAGGGATTCTCGCCGTCAAGGAGGCCACATTCGTCGACACAAGGATACCCTGAAGGCCTCCCTGAAGCGCCTGCAAATCAACCCGACCAACGGGGAAGAGCTCGCCCGCGATCGCCCGACCTGGAGGAGAACAGTGAAGACGGACTCTGCTATCTACGAAGCCAAATGCATCGCCGCCGCCAAAGCGAAACACGAAGCCAGCAAATCACAACTGCGCCCAGTCCGCAACGCCGACGCACAACCGCTTCCAACGTGTCCTCGATGTCAACGGACATTCCGGGCTCGAATCGGACTTGTTGGACATCTTCGTATCAAATGTATCTCTCGGACCGCACCAACTGTCGTCACTCCGCCCGCCTCTTCCTCGTCCTCTCTGCCGCCAACTACCTCTGGCCTTTCGTCTGAACCACCACTTCCATCCTCCTCCTCCTCCTCCTCTCCCTACTCAACTACTGTCCCAACGACGGCCGCTCAGGCGGGCGTCTCGCACATCACCAACCCTGTCACAACAACCGACACCACCCCCACTTCCTCTGACTCCAGCGATGAGGATCAGAACTACACCTGCCCTCGCTGCGACCGCACCTTCACCTCACACATCGGCCTGGTCGGTCACTTGCGAATCCATCGAACAAACACTGGCGAAGCAGTGCCTGTAACACCAACCTACACTCACCGCACTCGCCTCCACTGCCCACACTAACCTCGCACCTTCACGCATCGCATGGTTACACCACACCATCACACCTTACCCCTTCTGCTGCATGTGTGATCCGAGTCTGAGACTACAAATGTGCACCAACCACTGTGGCTTGGAAGACCGTCTAGTGACGTTCAAATCAGCACACGCAGTCTGCCCAGTTGTGTGTGTTCGTGTGTTGTGACGGACTGATGTGTTGAGATCCAGGCTGACACGGCTCCGTCTTAACCGGTCTGTAACCCCCTCAAGGGTGTGTGTGCGTGTATTTCCTCAGTCGATGACTGGCTGGTCACTCAGGATTTGAAGAGTGATGGCTCTAGCTAGGCGTAGGACTGCGCGTCACCCTTTTAGGCCTGAAGGATTGTGAGCGTCTGCTATGTCAGTATTCAGCAAACCGTGACCCTCGCAACCTGGTGCGTGTTGACTGTACTCTGACACCTGATTCCCTGCCTGCAGATGCATTTGCTTTCCCTCTTGGTATACAGGTCGTTTGGATGGCTGCCCAGTAATCTTCATCTGTCCGACGTATTGTTTTTTGGTTGCAATCCTGGTTACGTGTTTGCGGTGGACCAGCGGGTGTGGGAGCACGCCTAGGTACGGGCTCGGCCGTGCCAGCCACCGCCTCCGGCCTTTTTGACTACTCTTGGCACCGGGCTCAGGAAGGGGAGGGGGGGTGATCGCGGTAGATGCTGTGCATGTCTGTTACTGCTATGAACTACTCCATGCAAAAGTCCTCGCGCCGGCTTCAACTTGCTATGGAGCACATGGTGGCCGTCATCGGTTGCGACGATCAAATTGTCAGTGGTGTAAAGTGAGGGCGGGCCTTGTTCTTAGCGGCAATTCGCGAGTACGCGCATACAACCTACAACGTGACTTCCGTATCGGAATATGCGAGACACAGTGTGAGTATAAGGTCGACATGAGGAGTCTTTACCTGGACTCCTGGAATTTGCCACAAAGTCTCAATGTGGTAATGGGAGTTTTTACAGGTGTGGCCGTGGAACGCACAGAAAAAGAGGCCGAGATGTTGCATGCAGAAGAACAGCTGCCGGGAATGCGCGGTTGTACTTTGGGTGGCAAATAAATAGCTGCGCTTACCCTAACCCCAAACCCAACAGTACTATGTCCACCAGGTGGGGTTACATAACCGCATCTTATCGTTCCAGTTGGTGAACCAGACCCATAGGCGTTTCGAAAGCACGAGCAAGAAGGTGTGGATCGTGGCTATGTGTTTTGACGTTTCAACCTATCTGCCCACTTATTCACCTGACAAATTTTGGCAAACGGATTTCGTAGGCTTTGGAAGTAAGCCTTGCGTGGATGCAGTGCAAATCCATACACAATGTTGGACACGCCAATATAGCGCATCAGTGGTGATATACATAGGCAGCAATGTCGACTACTCTATCACATCCGCGCCTCCACTAGGCATCGCAGCGTTGCCATGCCAACAGCCATAAATCGTCCATTTCGCAATGAAGTGAATGTCACGACGGTGGAAAACTAAATCAGGATTTGTAGGACGACTGTAGCTGCTAACTGGATCGTATCACGGACTGACGATGAGATCAGGAAAGGTTCATCTGGAGCGCGCCACGGTCCCGCTTTAGAGGAGAAGGGAAAAGACACCATTAGGAGTAGTATATTATGTTCAGAAGCCTGGTGGCTGTCACAACACCCGATGAGGGGCCGGCTATTGGCCGGTGCGCTGGGGTGACGTGGTCGTGAATAAACAAGCGTTATCTCAAAATAAGTAATGTCCGACTGATTACTTGATTCGATGATAGGCGAGCTTGTGGGCGTCTGTGATTGGCTATCCTTGGGATTGGATGCTCTCCTGATCCGGCGCTCGGGAGTCGAGATCACGTGACTCCCAGCGCGGTGTGGGTGCCAGAGACAGAAGGCTCAATCTCGTCTGAGGCACTACAGCCTAAGGACGTTAACGATGTCAGTGAAGATTGGGCAAACCTGCCTACGGTTCAGCTTGTCTCGAAAAAAGCAGCATCCTCATGGCCTGAAGACGCACGCAGATGTACGCTAACGTTAGGCTCAGAAAATTCTAATTTTCGAAGGCAAGTGAGTAGAATGGCCGCATCTGCTTGGGTCGCGGAACACATTCGTGTCATAATGCGTCTCTTTCAAAAAAACTGGCACGGTCTCAAACCAAAATGAAAGTGGTGACAAGAATTTTGTTGTCCATCGGGAGCGGATGGCCTGTAACCTCTCTGATACACGATGGCCATTATGCGCCCGCTTATCTGATACGTCTATTTCATGGTTTCTTTAATACATCCGTCATTAAACTCCGTTGAATCCCTACGTGCTCATTTGCGTAGCCTTTTCGATTTTTACCACAGGTTTCCATCACATTCAGTTGTCGGCAGCGCAATTTAAATTGGAGACGGTCATCATGGAAACATACATTCTATTTCCTGTCAAGCCCCAAGGCGTATTATTAAATACTGCGGTTATGAATGACAGATGGCGATTTTACGTCGAATGCTACTGTGAAACAGATAAAAGTTGGACATGCCCTACCGAATGTGCAGTAATCAAGCTCAAAGATACAAGTAGCTAATTCTATTCAGCATCTACAGACGAATAATAGCATTTTAGAACAATTAGCATGCATATTCTATTTTGGAACCGACGCGCCGTGGAGGATATCACTTTTCGAATTTCATGCGTCCAATAAAAAAGCACATCCGACAGACAAATATAAAAATATGATTGTAATATTTAAGCGAAAAGTACTTATAATAATGTTCTGTCCTTTTACTCTGGGCCGAAGAGGTAATCAAAGGGTGCAAATAGAACCAAATGCTTTGGAATACCCTTTGGCCGAATTTTGTACATGTGGGGACGTGAATGAAAGTAGCAATCTAACTTCGTCATGACAAGGCCTAACCAGGCATCGTCTATCGGAAACTGCTGGGTGAAGTACATTGCCAGGGCAATCTCCTGCAGGACATCAGCGCCAAATGCAAGGAAAATACTGGGGGCGTAGGGCGCGAGGATGGGCCAGGGCATTTCTCGTTTGGATAGAGACCACTTGTCATGAAATCCGGGATAAGGGTGGCGAAATACCCTACTGATATTAAATGGCAAGCCCAGAGTCACTCGTCGAAGCTGCGCGTTGGGGAGGGCGTCCAACTCAGTCCTAAGAATGCTCACGTTGAAGGCGTAGTCATCGTCCATGAGGATAAAAATGGGAGGTCGTTTCTGAGAGGTAAAATAAGCTCGGCAGAAGCTCGAGGCCCACTGGAAGGTATGAAATAATTGGAGGCTGAGGTTATAGTAGGTGTCCTCATAGTCGCCCACTACGAGGTCACCGTTGATTCGCGCCTCCTCTGCAAGTTTCCTTAACACCTCCGGCCTCTGGGACTCCATTTTCTCCATGGACTCGCCTGCCCGGTCTGGAAGGGAGATGTTGAAACCGTCTCTTTCAAATGACCGACCGCCGATGCCACGAGGTAGTCCTACGGAGAAGATCATGGCCATGTGGAAGTCGGGTTCACGCTCGGCCTCTGTAGCATCGATCTTTCGAATACGATTACGATCTTCAAAGTTGTAGACGGCTGACTTGACCATCACAATAGCATTCAGGGGCCTTGTGACTGCTTTTCCTGGCACACAGACAGTCGAGCTGACGTTAAGGTATCTGATTGTCTGATTAAATATGGGGGCCTGACAATGGAAAAGGACGCATTCTGTAAAATTGTGGCAGCACAGTCGAACGAAGTGTGTTTTGCTGAACGGATGTTTTAATAAATTTTCAGAGTCAACACAAACAGTTCCAGTCGGCCAGACATATGCACAGATTTAGTAAAACGTTCATCGAATACAGCAACATGTTGCTGTGATCCAAGCCGCCATGCTCTGCGTTTGCTTTGTTGTAACCTGATTCGAGCTTGTGTGGCAACCACAGACGGGCTGTCTAGCCTTATCAGTCGATGTGTTCGATCTCGCGTCTGGTCACCATGGCCCATATCGTGCGCCGCTGTGCGGCTGCTGGTTGGGCTCGAGAGAGGGCCCGTAAGACACAACGGAACGAGTGAGTTCCGTAAGGACGATTGGTGAGCGTCCCCTACCATTGTTTATTCCCGATCGAAATCGACAAGGCAACGGGCTCGTGTCCCAGTGGTTAGAGGGGCGGACTTCTTTCTAACAGGTCGCGAGTTCGAGCCTCGTGTGTTCCACACTTCGGGCTTGGGTATGGCTGGCTGACGACGGCTAGTAAGCCAGAAATGGCCATTCCAGTCTCCCTTGTCTTTGTCGATAATGCCATTCTCCCCATGACCCTTTTCCTGACAACTGGCACAGAGCGCTGGCGGAAGTTAGACTGCGACTGATGCAGCGAAGGTCAATTATCACTAAAAAATTAATTCACGCCGCCGCTAATGTTTCTGCGCCCAGCATACTGGAGGGCATGCAGTGGACATCGTCTAGAACGATGGTGTAACGGATTATGCATAAGGTAGCCTAGGGTTTCGAATATGTATGCACCATGGATCGCACTTTCTCTTCACATTGTCACTTCCAGCATGTCTCACCGTCAGATCGACCGAGGATACTCCCATCCGTTTCCTGAAAATTGGAGACCTGCATGCCAAGAGGTCTTAATGATGTGTGGGAAGGAGGGTTTTGTTTGAAACCACTATCATTACAACCAATCAAGGAGTGATTATTTACTGTAAATAATCAATCTCTCGAAATGTTAGCGTAAATTCTGAAACACATTCACAATTAGGAAGGATTACGTAGGTGAAATTATAATATTGGTCACTGGGCTCATAAATTCCATAATATTTCAGTCACGCGACGATGTTGACTTTCGAATGTATTTCTTTTTAGACTTTCCGTCAAAAGGATCGTTTGTGAAATAAACACTTTTGTTATTTATTTTTGTTACGGGAAAGGAAATTACCCTAAATGAGCTTACTTGCCCTTATTCTGTAGTTAATCATGTCTTCTTGAGACCTTTTGGCTGAAAGTGTAATATC